ACTAGATTCATCATTTAACGGTCATAAAGAATAGCCTTTTTTTTTCGGGGTAGAGACACGCGTCTTTGAAAAAAAAAAGATTTCAATGGACGCGTCGCGAATCGCATAAAAAGAATTAAAAGGGTGGTGGTGGTGGTGGTGCTTGTGTCCGAGGGAGACTATCAAAGGACAATAAAACAAATCCAGAATCTTTATTATTTTTTCTGTCAAAAGGCATTGGACGAGGAAAACTTGGTAACATCTTCAAAGACAAACTCCTGGGTATCGTTGCTGCGGTGTGCTGGGACAGATGATACGTTTCTCGGCTGCAGCTGGCGGTCAAACATCATGAAACTTGGATTCAAATAGCTCTGCACCGGCATAGAAGTATTGTCGCACATTGATGATGAGGTCTGCTCGATGGAAGCCGCAGACGCCACGTTCAGGACATTCAAATTGCCATCAGTCCACAAAGTTTCGGGTATGGCAGTGCCTTGCGCAGATGTCGCTTGTGGTGGTGCATTGATTTCAGTGGTCAACACTTGTTCAATCTGATGCACCATGCCGATGCAAATATCATCTTGCCATTTCAGCTCTTCGTATTGGCGCAGCACACGCAATGCCCGCATCAAACACAGCTGACATCGACTTGTGATCTCTGGATCGCCAAATTTCATGCAAGAGATGAGCATTTCAATGGTCCGCTTGTGCTCACCGGGCCAGGTTTGGCAGGGCGCAAATTGGACCAGTGTTCCCCTCACGCGCACGAATTCAATGGACGAATCAACAACGGATAATACGGCCTCGCGTTGCCATGGGTTCAGCGCATACGGCTTGCCATTCTGTGCATTCAGATCGGCGTCCGTTGGAAAGAACAATCGCATGAGCAAGCTCATATTGGTGCATCGTTCCATGGCCAGCACATAACACACTTCCCGAGCAATCAAATCATCTTCGGCGCCAATGGTCGTCAATGTCAATTCCGGGGGGAGCTCGGCTTGCCATTGGCGCATGGTGTCGCGTACATTTTGCATCAAGGATATCATTTTTGCGTCGTCCGATGGATCAGCTTGTTCAATTTCTTTTGCTAATCTTCGTCGAAACAGCCACAGCTTTAAAATGTTGTTCCAGCCAAGCGCACCAAGCGCTTCATCGGGCTCATCCATGCTGCACGGCAGCGGTCGCTGGAGCTGCAAAATCGCGTCATGATCGTCGGACCTCGGGGACAAGATGGAATTGGGAATCGTGCCTGATTCCAACAGAAAATGATCGGCATGAAAAAGATACCACCATGTACGATTGGCAAGCTCAGCCTCCACGGTGGTCGGTCGTTCCACAGGTCGTACACCGAGCATCATCGCCATGCGCACCGCCACTGTATGCCAAAGAGCTTTTTGCTCAGTCGGTATCCGATTCGTCATGTTGCACAATGTCAATGCATAGCTACCAAGTGGATCAATTAGCGCCCCTCCTTTTTTTTTTTGCCGCAGCATGAAATGATCAATTCTTACACGTGATGCAAATGAGGGTCATCAAAGCAATCAGAAAGCGCTTCACGCACCAATTGAGCAAGTTTGAATTGAACAGTGTCTACAATGGCATTGTCACGCGTCTTGAGTAATGCGGCTGGAAAATGATGAATAAACACATGACGCGCCCAAAATAAACCCAGCGCAAGCACCAAAGGATCCTTGGACGGGTCGCGGAGTTTGCTGTACCAGGGCATCATCACCCGCTTGGGAATGACTGAAGAAAGATGATTAACTAGTCAAATTTTACACCACATCTTTTGCAATTCAAGCAATACCTCCATAGTAATGGTTCATGCAGCAGCAAATGTAATGAACGCAGTCATCGAGAATGGTGGGCAGCACAGCATCAAAGAGGGTCCATGTCGATTGCGGTCTCCATATTCCAGATGCATATAATTCACCATGAAAATGCACATAGGGCAACACAGAATGCCGCACTTTGGTGAGAGCCGACGAAGAGGGCGAGGCCGGAGGCATGCCATGAAGGCTGAAGCGCTGATCCACTAGCGTTCCAAGAATGTGCATAAAGTGGAACAGAAAATGAGGGTCAAATAGCTTTATAGTGTAGATGCCAGGCTGCGACTCTTCCACCGTCCACTTGTCGCTCATGGATGCCATTCTTAGGACGTGCAGCGGGTTGCTCAGACTTGTAAGTCGCATAGTGGTCTCAAGCATCTTTCTCTCGTCTTCTCGTCGTATTCGTGGTCGGCGAGGGTATTTTCCGCGAATAACAAGGCCATTGTGTCGTCCAAGAACAAGCTCCATGGTGAGAACAAATTGGAAAAAGGAACAAAAAAGCCAGACTGTGTGGGGATCTTTTTTTTTTTTTTTTTTTTTTTTTTTTTTTTTTGGGAAAATTCAAAACTCCGTTCTTTTGCCCAATTTTATTTTTTCAATGGGCGTCGCACTTTTTCTCTTTCACACTTTTTCTCGACATAAAACATGTCGGATGCGAAATACTTTCAGAGAGGTATCATGGCATTGTTGGTGTGAATATGCAACGAGACTTACACAGTGTCATAGGCAAGACGCAGGAGCTGCGTGCCGAGCTGAATTCCGACAAGCGCGACCCAAAGCACCAGCGAAAAAAGACCGTGATGAAAAAAATTGTGGCCAACATGACAATGGGAAACGACATGTCGCCTTTATTCCCTGATATCCTCAATGTCATGAACGTGCCTATCTTGGAAATCAAGAAAATGGTGTACCTCTATCTCATCAATTACGCGCGTAGCAAACCTGACATGGCGATGATGGCCATTACCATGTTTATCAAGGTAAAAAGGCCAAAATTCCCATTTTTTTTTCAATGTGGTGTGCCTGATTTTTTTTTTTAAATTGCGCTTTTAGGATGTTGAGGACCCCAATCCCTTGATTCGTGCGTTGGCGATCCGTACAATGGGATACATTCAAGTGGAAAAGATTGTTGATTGCTTGATTGAGCCTTTACGACATTGTCTCAAGGATAAAGACCCATACGTGCGAAAAACGGCAGCAATTTGTGTCGCGAAATTGTACATGTACGACAATGTCTTGGTGGAAAGCGAGCGTTTTATTGACATGCTTCGCGACCTTTTGAGTGATCCTAATCCTACGGTAATACACAATCCACATATGCAGTACGAGAAATACTCATTCATTCACGACGTGATCTAGGTCATCGCCAATGCAGTGGTTGCTCTCACTGAAATCTCGGAACGATCTGAAAATATTCAATTGAAATTGAATCACAGCATTGCAAGCAAGCTGGCGGCTGCCTTGAATGAATGCTCAGAGTATGTATTCCGCTTTGTATTGTCGCTGCTGTGTGCTCATTTTTTTTCCTTGTTTCGCAGGTGGGGCCAGACTTATATTTTGGAAGCCCTGATGTATTATGTCCCACAAGAACAAGGCGATGCTGAAATGCTGGCGGAGCGCATTGCCCCACGACTGCAACATGCCAATTCGGCTGTTGTTTTGACATGCGTCAAAGTCATGATGTATCTGATGAATTACATGAAAAACGAGAACGATATCGTCTCGTTTTGCCGTAAACTCAGCCCTCCACTTGGTAAAATACGCTCTTTTTTTCCCCGCATGCATGTGAAATCTCGATCAAAACTCACGCGTGTTTCCTTTTTTTAATTTTCCTAGTCACCCTGCTATCCAATGGCCCCGAGGTTCAATATGTGGCATTGCGAAATATCCTGCTTGTGATTCAGCGGCGCCCCGAGGTGTTGCGAAACGATATAAAGGTGTTCTTTTGCAAATACAATGATCCAATCTATGTCAAGCTCGCCAAACTGGAAATCATCTTTCGACTGGCCAGCAGCAACAATGTGGATCAAGTGTTGAGCGAGCTAAAGGAATATGCAACGGAAGTCGACGTTGATTTTGTACGCAAAGCGGTGCGGTCCATTGGACGACTTGCTGTCAAGATCGAATTGGCCGCCGAGCGTTGCATCAAGACACTCTTGGACCTCATCCACACAAAGGTCAACTATGTGGTGCAGGAAGCAATTGTCGTCATTCGCGACATCTTCCGGAAATACCCAAACAAGTACGAAAGCATCATAGGCACTCTCTGCGAGAATTTGGACAACTTGGACGAACCTGAAGCCAAATCCGCCATGATCTGGATTATTGGCCAATACGCTGACCGCATTGAAAACGCTGACGAGCTCTTGGATGACTTTTTGTACACGTTTTTGGATGAACCTGCAGAGGTCCAGCTTGCGCTTTTGACCGCAACCGTGAAACTATTCATAAAACGCCCCACTGCCGGCCAAGACCTGGTGCCAAAGGTTCTAAAGTGGGCAACCGAAGAAACAGACAACCCGGACTTGCGCGATCGTGGCTACATTTATTGGCGCTTGCTCTCTACGGACCCAACCAGTGCAAAGGTAACTTTTTAAAAAAAAGAGAAACATATTTCTTTTTCTTGTACTGACATCTTTTGCTAGGCAATCGTGTTATCCGACAAGCCGTCCATCTCTACAGAAAGTGATAATCTTGATTTTAACTTCTTGGATGAGCTGTTGCTGCACATCTCCAGCCTGGCATCCGTGTATCACAAGAGCCCAACGACCTTCATTCATCATTACAAGCCGCGGTTCTTGCTGCCTTCCCCAGTGCTTCAAACACCCAATCAAATTCACGAAACCTCTTCGTCTTTCGCCTCGGACCAACTGCAACAGCAATTTGCATCCAACGACAGCACTAGTGTCACCGTGAATCGCCTTTCCTTCAATGGCGCCATCCAATCTTCAAATCCATATGCTGCCGATGTCATCCAGCCTGCCACTACAAGCGCAACAAACGGCGGAAATGTTGATTTGCTTCTCGATTTGTGAAAAATAAAACGCTGAGTGGCGCCTCGCCGCCATCACTTTAGATTAAAATAATTTGCAAACACCTTGTCGAGACAGAGAAAGTCTGAATAAACCAATCAATCAGCAACAAAAAAATAAAAATAAAAATGAAAAAAAACGAGTAATCCTCAAAAAAGACTGGACCCGGAGGGAATCGAACCCCCGATATTCTGCATGCAAAGCAGACGCCATACCCCTAGACCACAGGCCCCGAATTGATTTTGAACGATTTTAGAATTCCTTAAGTCAATTCAACAATTTTTTACCTGCTGCTCATCTGGGGGAAAAGGGAAAATCGACGGCAATCCGGCGCGTCGTCACGTGGGCTGTGTCGACGGTAAATAGACGGAATCCGACGCTCGGCGGAGTTCGACGGCTCGTTTTGTAAAATCTCGACGGATGCTAGACGCTGATCGGCGCACGGCGCCGTTCGACGGAAATGGGCACCAATTCGTCGCATGCTCGACGGTGTTCGTCACATTTGCTTTTTTTTTTATGTATTGCAATACAGGAAGACCTTTGTGAATCGCTCACTTCATTTTTCATACATCTTTCGCATTTTCTCTGTTTTTCTTTCAATCTATCTATCTTTTTTTATATAAATCGCATTCAAGCTTTCTCGATTTGCAAAGCGTCTTTTATTGTCACCGCAGCCTTTTTTTTTTACTGCTTTTTTTTTAACTTGTCGCAAGAGCTGTCTTTTTTAATTTTATGATAACAACTTCACGTTGTGTTTTTTTAATACCCGCTTCTTACGCGCCCCAACTTTGAAACAAAACACGCCAGGGGCACTCATTTCGTTTCATTTTTCTTTTCTTTTTCTTTTTCTTTTTTTTTCTTTCCATCCCTTCATCCACACTTCTCTATATCTTTATTTTTATTGTCAGTGGCAATGCTATGACGCCTTCACCTTCAACTTGCACGCGCTTCAGCAAGATATGCGAATAGATTTTTTAGACTAGAAGTATGCTTACGACTGTGTGAGCAATTGGCGTCCCAAAGCCAGCAGCCACTCGCTCCAGCTTGACAAGACGTGAGGACTTGCTTTGTACCAACGAATAAAGGCAAACCAATGCACTTTTTGCTCGCTGGGTGTTCCAAAAACCACGTCGTGGTGCTCTCCCTGTAAAAAAAAAAAAAAAAGGAATCAGTCATCGACCTTTTTCATCGCTCTTTGTCATTTTTTCACGTTGCCTTTGCAGAGCTGGACGACCTCGAGATCTCTGTGCAATGCCGTGTAGAAATCCACGGCGCCTGGTGCCCAATTGACGTCATTGAGCGATCCTTGTCTGCCAAATCAATGAAAGTGCAAGCCGCGCCAAGAACTTCGCTTCCTGTGGCGGTAATAACAAGGCCATGAACACGTACACGTCTTTGTAAGGTTCATTTCCGACATGTGCGCCAATTGCAAAGGTAAAAAAAAAAAAAAGCACATTAACATTACGAGCAACAGACAATAGGGAAAGACGCCAAAAAAAAAAAAAACTACAACTCACCAGAAGCCTCATTGTCTCGTTCTATTTCTTCAAGTAGGTCCACTTGTTGATCGCCATTGAAGAGATCATCATCGGGATTGTCAAGCAACAATTGTTCCTCCAGCTGCTCGGCTAGGGTCAATTGGCTGCGATCATCCTCCTTGTACTCCAAGCCAGCGTCATGCTAATTGTCATCTTGGTCGTCGATGTCCATGGCGTCTGCAATCAAGGCAATATAAGTCAACTTTTTTTTTTTATTATTTACCAAAAGAATCGTCAACGAGATGGTCATCCGCAATTTTTTCGTTGCAGGTCCATTGGCGTTGCCTATATCTTGGGTAAGTCCTTCGTTTCAACTTCTTGCTTTTTTTCTCATCCAATCTCATCTCGTTTAGGAATATATGCCCTTGGATCTGTCTGCCCTGTTACGACGGAAGCGCGTGGGTCGCGATACTTTTCTCGAACCATGTGGACCCTCGCTACACAACGAGCAAATGCAACCGACCTGTTCATCAATGGCTGCTTTGCGTCTTCTCTTTTAAAAAAAACGCATTGCTGAGGTAATGCTTTGCAAAAAAAAAAGTATCATACCCGCCGTTTCGCGTACTGCAGCATAGAATCATCCAATAGCAAATAAAAAACGCGTGCATGAACCATATTATAAGCCAATCAGATATTATATGTGGGCCTGAAGAGCCAATGGTATGGGCAAAAATAATAGTAAATCGTCGCAAAAACGACGCATCGATTTGGAATGGATCGACGCCATCGGTCGCCGTCGAGAAAAGCGACGCCAATCCGCGGGTAATGAATCGATGTTGCAACGCGCCGTCGATCACCGTCGAGAAAATCGTCGGATTGCCGTCCAATTGCAAAATCCGACGCGCCGATTGCCGCCCATTTTGTGAGTTTCCCCCGGTGGCTCGCTCATCAGCGCTGCTGCTGCTGCTCACCGGATAGAGCTCAAATTGCACGTATCTCGCAGGGAATTATTGTTTGATCATATTGCGCGATCATGCGTTTCGCTAGAGATGAAATTGCTTAATCGGATGACAATTCATGATTTTTTATTTTTGACAATGAATATTCATGTACATACTAAATGGGGGAATAGGTATGAGGGTGTTGTGGAGGAGTGGAGCATTACATGACAAGCTGAATGCAAATTTTGTTTCGCGTCTTGCCTTTCCATTTCATGAAGACGCGCATGGGGGGTCGCGTCAAGGTTGCGACGTGATTGATATTTTTTGGGAGATGTTTTTTCAATGTGCCAACTTGCACGTTTAGAGAAGCAGCCGCATTCGGACCGCCAAAGACAATTTCGGCAGGCTGCTCATTATCTGTTGGGTCCCAAATCTTGTATTGGCGGGCTCGGGGTGGCGTGAGTTCGGTGATGTCGCCTTTATATAATGGCTCGTACTTTTCAGGGACAAAAAAAAAGAACAAAAAAGATGGTGAGATGGCAGCCAGGGTTGTATCCAAGTTGATGAAAAGTTACCTCTTTGTTCAATCGCAAAACGACAAGAATGGGCCGCACGACGTTGCGCCACGTGGCTTTCTTGATGACTTTGTACGTCTGGTCTGCGCGCAATTGAACCTGGCGACGACCGACCGCCTCAGACATGTCGACGTTGCTGTCGTAATTGCTGAAGATGTTGGGCTCGCGAGGGTCAATCACTCGGAATTTTGAACCTGTCGCCGCAACCGTGTTTTGGCGGACCGTCTTGAATTCCAGATTTTGCAGACGATTGTTGCCTTTGTTTTCATCAAGGTGGTCCAAGACGAGACCTTCGGCTGTTAATCGCATGCATCGTTCGTACGTGGTTTCTTCTTCTAAAATTTTAAAGAGGTAGGATGAGACACCATCCTGGGCACGCGTCGCGAGCTCGCTTTTCGTCGGACTTACTTGGAGATGCGGGAACAATACTGTCATCATTGCCATTTCCGCTGGCAGATTCGTCAAATTGGCGCTTTTCGTCGTAGTCGTCGTCAAATTCATATTGTTCGCGATTTTCGACATTTTCGTCGTCGTTATCAGCGCACTCCGAAATGGACATTGCAGATCGCACGCTTGCATCGTCGTCCACAGACATGGTCATTGCACGTCGCACGGTCGTGTTGTCGTCGACGGACATGTCCATTGCAGATTGCACGCTCGCGTCGTCGTCGATGGACATGGCCATAGGAGATTGTGGGGATGTGTACGCGAAAGAATTGGTGTTCATGAGCGACGAGGGTGCCTGGGAGCGAGAAGGCGATGAGGATGCCTTGTAAACAGGGATGAAGAAACGCATTGCCATCATTCGATGAACAGGGATGGTTTTGACCTCGCCGACGCGAGTCTTGAGTCTCGTGACAAAATAGTTGCCTTGGCGGTCAAGAGTACGCTTGATGAGTCGCTTGGACACGGAGTGCCGTTGGTTGCCGGAAACTGACAAGTCATATTCACCAAAGTCATCTTGTCCAAGCTGGCCAATATTAAACCAAGAATTTTCATCCTTGTCAAGGGGGTCCAAGGGTGGCTCGTATGACTTTTTGTCGATAATGGCATATCGCGGGGCTCCTGGTGCACGCGGCTTCACCAAGTTGTCGTACTTGGAGAGGGCTTGCAAATTGTCGATGGCATTGTTGCTGGGATCTGAGTCCGTGTGGTCAATTTCCAAGCTGCGGTCGAAATCAGGACAAAAGGCTGCATAGACAACGCGGTTCGAGAAGCGTTTGACGGGTTTTCGGTCAATCTTGCTGAAGAAGTGCACACTTTTGCAACCAAAGTCATCTGTGTATTGCGTGAGCTCGGTCATGGATGTAGACGTCAAAATGGCACCATCTGAGCGGACAATGTAATGATCCTCGATCTGAGCTTCAGGCTCGTTATATGGTACGTGCCAAAACTCTTTGTTATTGTCCTAAAAAAAAAGAAGTGAGCAGGCGAATTTCACTTTTTTAGTGAATGAAGAGCACGTACATTTAGCCATTGAATGTATGCCTTGCGCATCTCGGCCCTACTGACTATCAAAAGATTGGCTGCGGCGGAATTTTGGCTGTTGAGGTCCTTGAGCACGATGATGTAGTCACTATAGCTGTCTTTGATACCAAAAAAAAGTACACGCAACGGCCTTGGTGTTCTGTACATTGCAGCTGGTACTATTGGGGCCATAGAGCGTGACGAAACCAACGGGATTTTCGCGCGTTTTCAATCCGGTCATAATTGTCTCGCGCTTGCTCATCTGACCTTGCTTGCCAAACTGACCTTTTTTGAGCACATGAATGGTGCCATCCAATGCGACCCATGGTTTGCTCATTGTTTCAAAGTCCTCGACTGCTGCATCAACATACTCCAGCGGCCCTTAAAAAAACGCGTCAAAATGCTTGAAACAGCGCCTTATTATTATTGTTATTTTTTGCTGAATCATACTAATGGCAGGGCCAGGCAAGATGGGTAATCCGAGTGTCTGTGTCTCTTTCAGCGCGCAAAGCCGCGCTGCATGTGGTGCCGGAAGATGTGGCATTTCAAGGGAAGAAAGAGAGCAATGGCAAGGTGAAAAAAGAACAAAGAAAAGAAAGAGAGAAGAAAAAAGGCGAGACCACAATCAAAAAGTAAAAACGAGCCTCTTGGCTGCTCAGGATGGTCAATGTTCCCTCACGCATTTAACGTGCTGATCATTTCATTGTTGAAGAAAAAACCTTGGTAGTGCCACTTTCTAGCACGTCGCCGTGTGGCAATTTCGTCTTGTCG